AAAGTTTCTGGTAATAGCATAGGCCAGGGGTGGCGAACCTTTATACACCAACGTGCCATTTTTTCTAAAAAATTCTTTAATGAAATGACAGACGTGCCGTCAAATAATTTAGACCTCATGATTATTGGGAAAATTATAATACTAAATACTATCAACTTAAAACTCTTTATTTACATTGAAAAGAAAATATATTTTGCAGTTATACGCGTAATTCAACTTAAAGTAGCATCAGTGGGACTTCTGTTATTGCAGATTAAATAACAAATAACTTATATTAGGTTGTAAGATATTAGTTTAAGCAGGACTGTTGATTATTTTCCTAGTTATTTATTGTTAGCTTGTTTTTTATGGTCATTAATTGTTCTTTTAGCATTAATTGTTAATTTTTTTATTAATTGTTTATTATTTTGTTTGTTTTTTGTGAATTTTAATTTAATTGTTACATATGCTTCATAGTGTGTGACATTTGTGTAATAACAATTCAGAGTGCAATAACGATTGCTATCGGTGGCGCGCCCGAAATATTGTGTCGCAGGGATGGCGAACCAATGGCACGCGTGCATTGGTTCGCCATCCCTGGCATAGGCTAATGAATTCCTTCAATAGTCTAATGCTTGAACCGTGGTGGCTCACAGGATATAGCACTCGCCTTCCAATGAGGTGACCCGGGTTGGTTGGATAGCTGGTTGATTCAAATTCAGCACCCAGCTCGCACCGATTGCAGTGCTGACTTAAAATATCCTCAGTGGTAAACGGATCAGGAGTTAGAGTCCCCTTGCCTTCAGGCTAACCGTGGAAGGTTTTCGTAGTTTTCCTCTCTCCATGTAATGCAAATGCGGGTTAGTTGCATCAAAAAGTCCTCCACGTAGGCAAAATTTCATCCAATACTTGATCCAGGAATTCCCTTGTCTTCTGGATTGGGTTAAGAATTACAAGGCTACGGAGTTAAACATTAGTAGCCGTAAACCCAAAATTGGATCGGTTGTTCAACGACAGTTATAAAATATTAAAAAAAATGGTCTAATGTTTGGAAATAAAATTCAAATTCGTGGCTTCTAGGTAGAAAACTGGCTAAAATTTGTTTTGGTTATAAAGTTTTTTTGGTTGGAGGCTAGCAAAAAATTTTAGTGGGTAAAAGGATTTCCTAAAATGGGCTAACGTTTAGAGGCAAAATTCAAACTTGTGGTTGCCAACATCAAACATCTACACTGACTGTAATGTAAGTAGGTATTAGTAAATGTAATATAAATAAGTAATAATGTGCAATGTAAATAAGTAAGTTAAAATGTAATAACATAAATAATGTAAACGAGGAACTCAGCTAGTATAAAATGTAGTGTTCCATTTCTAAATTTAGTTTGTACTCTTATAAACAGAGAAAACAATATGAATTTTTCACAAATTCATGCGTTTACAAAACCTTTCTGGTTATTTTGGGGAAAAAACACAGGAATTGACATTTTAATATGAAAATATATTTATTCATATAGGTTTGAAGTAATGATTTTAGTGATGATGTGTCGGTTTGAGATTTAAATTTTAAATGTTTTCATTTCGCGAATCAGAGTGGATTCTAGTTATAGCGATAAAGCACAGAACAGTAATTCTGGAAAAATAATAGAATTTTCTGGTAGAGATACAATACTTTTAATTATTTTTTTAAAAAAATCTTTCAATTCCTTATATGCCAAAAGAAGCAAAATGTTATTTATTTATGCATTATTTAAAAATAATAATCCTACCTGATAGATTTAAATATTCTTACACAAAATTGCAGTGAGTTTATACATGAGAAAAGAAAAAAACGAATACAATTTTTTAAAAAGATATTATTCATTAGACAACGAAGATAAAAAAGTTTAATTATCGTTTGAAGTATCTTGATAGCAATAAGTAAAAAAAATTAATGAGAACTTTATGTTTTCGTTCTAACAGATGGCGCTTTGTAAAGATACTTTTTTTCATATCTCTGATACATATCTTACAACTTATTAACTGGGTAAACACAATGTATCATGCTATTAATCAAATAAAAAAGATACAAGTTAAGCATGATTTTTTTTTAAACTATTTACAACTATGATTCATATCCGTTAAGTTATTATCTTACTCTAAATGAATAAACTGTGTACTTAGGAACATTTAAAAAGATAATGAAAAAGTATTTTAAATGATTATATTATTTTTTTAACTGTCTTTGAAAATTTGCTAATAAATATATAAAAGTTATATTACCACATCGAGCAGTTTCGAATTTTAAAAAAAAGTACTTTTAATTTAAAAGATAAAAGCGACGTTATTCGACGACGTAATTGTTCTATTGGAATGGCGATCAATTTAGAACAATTTTAAATGCCACAAGCAATCAGTTTTTCTAAGTGTTCAAAAATTATTTTTTTTAAAAAAAATAATCAATTTATTGACCTTTACTAATTTATTTTCATCCTTTTCTCCCCTTATTTTATTTTTTTAATTTTCTGTAACAAATAACGCTAACACTAAATTACGATGATCTAACAACTATTATTATTTAATGGATCAATATCAACTTTAAACTCCCCTCCTTGCGAAACAATTTAGCCATTTTTTTCCCCTTACTTATATTTTTTTATCCTCGATTTATTATGATTATCGTCTGCAGCACGTGCTTCGTTGTAAAATAGGTGGAACAAAAAATCGTTCAGCTTTGACATTGTTTTTTTTCCTTCATACTTTTCATAATTTTTTTAAAATTCTTTTGTTCTTTTTTTTCAACAAAAAAAAACGAATTTTATTATTTTTTTAACAAATATTTTCCAGATTTTGAGTTTCCTTTTATGCTCCTTCACTTTTATAATTGTTAATTAACGCTTAATGTTGATCATTGAAGTAAAACTCATCCAACTTCATCTATGTTTCGTTTAGATGTTTTCTCTTTGTTCTAAATCGTCTGCCATTTCTAATGGCTTTAAGTCGTTAATGGCGACCGTATAATTGCAGAGGTTAAGAGTCGTCATTATTTCGAGAATTAGAGCTACTGTATTTCTTTTTTTCTTCTGATTGTCTGAACAATTTAATAACTCTTTTCCACTGATGTTACGAAATAACAAGAAGAGAATTTTTAATATTTAGTGACGATAAAAAATACAAATATAATGTTCCCTTTTATACCTGTTCCACAGTAGTACGGATGTAATTGTAATAACTGAGAAAGAGATAGTCTCACGTTTATGAGAAATTTCAATTATCTTGATACTCTCTAAAAGGATATTATCTCTAAAAGCTTGCAATTAAACAACATCTGTTAATGAACGCTACTCTCTTAAAATAGGAAGAACGGTTATTAAGATAAAGTAAGCCCACATTGCGAAAAAGCTAAATTTTGTACTTTAGATATTGTAATTTGTTTTAATATTTTAAGTACTTTTTTTAATTTCCTTGATGAGTGATAATTTAATAAAATAAAGTCATGTGGGGAAAAAATTAACGTTCTCTACAGTGTCTGCCACTTTAAAGGCGGGAAGCAAGCTTTTAAGAAAGAAAAAGAATTTCTATTTGATCAAAACTGGTAGAATATTTTAGAAAAATTATAATGAAATTCTTTTTAAGTTTTATGTGTCAGAACTGGCAGCACGTTTATAAAAATTATAACCAACAAGTCCTCTTTCTACAAAGAAATCAGTAGAAACTATCACCATTTTATGAAATTGCGAAAACTACTAACGCATTATGGATGGAATTATGAGAAAGTTAGGGCATTATGGATGGAATTGTGAGAACTTCTAGCACTTTATGGATAGTAATGTGAGAAATACTAGCACATTATAGATGGAATTGTGAGAATTACTAGCACATTATGATTGGAATAGTGAGAACTGCTAGCACATTATAGATGGAATTATGAGAACCACTAGCACATTATGAATTGAATCGTGAAAATTACTAGCACATTATGGATGGAATTGTGAGAATTACTAGCACATTATGGATGGAATCGTGAGAACTGCTAGCACATTATCGATGGAATTGTGAGAACTACTAGCACATTATGATTGGAATAGTGAAAAATGCTATCAGATAATGAATGGAACTGTGAGAGCTACTAGCACATTATGAATAGAATAGTGAGAACCACTAGCATATTATGAATTGAATCGTGAAAGCTGCTAGCACATTATAGATGGAATCGTGAGAACTGCTAGCACATTTGGAACACATTATAGAATTTCATACACTGCGTTTTCCAGGAAAAAATTTCATTTGCTTATGGTGCTCAAAACTGGTTTCGCATTTGGCAAAAAAAAAAAAAAAAAAAAAAAAAAAAAAAAAAAAATCAAGAAGTTCTTATTTTATGCAATTTCATTTTTTTTTCTTTGAAATAAAAATTTATAACAGTAGAACAAAAATAATGTTCACTTCATTTTTAATTCGTTCACACAATATTTTCCTTCATTAGTTAAGATATTTTATATATTTAAAAAAGTCCTCAAAGCTCAATTTAATAAATTAAAACTCCAATTCGCACTCTATTATTATGAGAAGTTTTCATTGTTGGACTACCATAAAAAGCAAGAGGATTTAAATATAACATGAAATTAATTCCTTCTTACCAGCAGGTATATCAAAAATGGCTGACAATTTGAAATATCATTAAAAGCAAAGCCAAAAAAGACAAAAATGTAGAGTGTGCTGAGTTCTTATTTATTCTCACTAAGTTTCAAAATTAGATTAAAAGTTCGCCAATTGATAACTTTGCCTACAAAGAAAAACAATAAAACAATGATTTCGTAATAATCGCAATTTATTGCTGTATCGTGGAGTCGTCAAAATTAACACATATTAATCTAGAATGCTAAGTAAAAGAGTCCTAAGACCAGGGATATGTTCTTGATCGTGGTTGGCTGGCGTGTATCATAAAGTACGGAGTAAAAAAGCTGGCACTATTTCTGCGTTGGCGTGATTTCCATTTATTTATAGCCGAGAAATAAATTAGCATTAAAAAAATTTTACGAATCGTGATTTCAGCAAGCCATTGCAGTTTTTCTCTCCATAATCCTTTCGAAATCAGCCGTCCCTTCCCTGCCAGTCTTATTTCTCGTTTTCCCATACCTAAATTGAGCCCTAGGCACATGCCCAGTGTATCCTGGCACCATGTTAAATCTTCTCCTCACTTCATTTCCAGTAACTTCGTGTTTATTGCAATAAAATTTTACTTCTTCCTCTTCGAGGACATATTCTCTTGGCTGTTCATTCACTGGCCTCAAACGATCTCCACCAACACGATGCTTCGCCAAGAGAGTATGGGTCATCCTACCATATGTGTCACCTATAGCGTTTGTTCTCTTTATTGCAGATCCTGGCGTCCACCCTGTGTAGCCTGGCATAAAGTAAGGATCTAAAGGCTTGTGAGGATTGTCTAGAAAGAATCTAGGATCTTGGTGAGGTGGGTAGGGGAATGTATTGATGAATCGAATGTCTTCAGTCACGGGATTCAGTCGTCCTCCACCCACACGATGACCATGTAACAAATCATGAGTATAGTGACCATAGGTTTCTCCAATCACAAAGTGTCGCTTGGGTCCTGTTAAGGGAGTCCAACCTGTGTAACCAGGTAAAAAATATGGCTGAGAGGGTGCTGTCATTTATGCTATCTTGATTTCTAAGATTAAAGCAAATGCATCCGATATTTTGATTAGCAATTGTTGAAATGAAATCAATTTTTGTTTGCTATAAAAAAGAAATTATAGGAACGAATTAACCTTGTGGCACTTTTTCTATAAGTCGTTGCGGTTGTTTATATTTAAGTGCAATGTTGGAATAGTAAATCATTTTGACAACTATGCGCATAGATTAAAATAGCTTTTAGCTCTCATTAAACATAACTGTCTCCTTAACCAGAAATTGAATGTTTTTATTTATTTATTTATTTTAATTATTCTATGGATCAATAAAAAGTTGAAAACAGATATATATTTTACATATATATTGTTACAAAGTAAGAGTAATAAAATCAGTGAACGAATTGGGTACTTGCTCTTCAAGAAGAAGAACAACTCGAATGCCCATACATTTCGCCTATGACGTCAGCTCTAGCTGATAGTTATTAAGGCTCCTATACTAATTCAGGGGCTCTAATAGTTATAAGCAAAATGGCTTGTTGAAGTTGGGCTAAGTTTCTTCACATAAGTTACAATGCTAATTAACGTGAAATTAATTAAATATTGTACCGTATCACCCTACGAATTTGTTGAAATGTAATTTTTTCTCGTCTACGTCTTTTATTTTACTTAGATTTATTATTTGCTTTTGTATTTTATTGAAATCGTGTTATATTTTTGTTTTGTGTACCTGGCAACTTCGATGCATAATTAGTTTGCTTCTGTTCTACATGGCTTCGAGCCTGTTTTTGTGTTAAGTAAGAAATATATGGTGAAAGAATATAGATTATGTCACTTAAGAAAATTGATAGTTGACGGGCATAGCTTACTCGAAATAGAATGTAAAGAACATATGCTAACGTAAACAAAGGCCACGTTTCAACAACCAATCAGGATAGAGATACCCACACTACGTCACTTTCAGGTATCCCATTATTGAGAATCCACAGATGTGACAGACCAAAGTCACGCGAATTATTCAATTTGGTATAGAGGTGTCCAAGCTAGGGCTGAACTATATCACTTGAGTGGCATAAATCAATCAGCTGTCGTAATTTTGTGGTTATGAATGGCAATCAGTTTTTGCACTATTCTTATTGGACAATTCGTATTCCCATCCCAATAGAAACGTATTCCTATTGCTTTTGAGTGTAACTAATTGATCATTGAGGAATTTCCAGTGGACAGGCAAGTGAAGTGACGTTATCTTATTCTACATCTCTATTGGAAAGTCATAATTCATTATTTATCTCATTAGTCTATGTATTTAGTTTGCTGTTTTTGTCTTGCTTTTACAAAAAAAACAAACAGTTTTACGTTTATCAATCATGTAAAACAGACAGCAAAGTTGCAGGAAGACGGATGCCAGCACTAACGGCCGGGCATCACTGAAATTACCAACAATTTGAAAAATTATCTATCCATATATAAAAATCTAAGGCTGGTATGGCAGTTTTCCATTGTTGTCGGTGCATTTTTATTGGCCGGAAAATCACGTGGTAGGATCCAGTTTTCCCTCGTTCATTTCCATATTGTTTTGGTTATCATCAGCTTAAAATTAATAAAAGTTATAAAGGTATTGTTTTTCTATAAGTATGTTTATATGCCTAATTTAAAGATATTTTTCCTGTACTGCTATTATTACTCTTTTGATTAATAGTATAAAATAAAGAGAATTGTTGTTTTATTATTGTTATTATTATTACATAATCCTTCGCTACATTTTAAGATAAATTTATTTAAAAAGGTGTCTATTCTTATTAACCGTTTTACAATTATTATTTTTTGTGCAAATAACAATATATTGTTATAAATTACCGTCATAGAGATTCATTAAATGATTTAGAACTTAAAGATCATCTTCGTGCTCAATATGATGCAAACAAAAATAGTATTTAATATATCCGCCCCCTTGGTAAGCGAAAATATTAAATTACGGTTGTGAATTTATCGAATTTGCTAGAACAAAATAATGTTATACATAATATTATAACAATATAAATATTATTTAAAAAAAATCTTACTTTGGAAAATTGCATCATTTTAACTTAAGGAACAATAATTTGACGTCTAGATGGTTTTTATTTAAGCTAGAAAAATATCCAAGTAAAACTTTTTTAGACTTCCTGTAACTTTTCTGAAAATTAACTGAGAATTCTGATGTTTTTACTGAAGTTTAACATGAGTACAGACATTATATGCAAGCACATTTTTTTAAAGAATGCAAAAAACTTCCATAATTTAACTTTCTTCAGAGCTAAAATTTGAAGGAAAAAAAGAGATACTATGTCTTACGTGCTCGATTAAAGTCATAAAAATCAAGTTAATGACTTGAAATAACTTTTTATTGGCAGCCAAACAGCCATTTTTTAAGAGCATAGTAGCCCAAAGTAAGTGGAAATTAAAAAGTATTTTGAAAATTGAAGAAAAAAAAATTTCGTTTTCACAGGGAAAAAAAGGTTTATTTCGACCACAAGAAATATTAAATATTTACCAGCATTTAAGCAGCATCCTATTCTCAAACAAGACACCACGTTTTAACTTAATACATTTATTCGAAGTCGACTAATTTTGCGATCAAGGGGGGGAAATGTGAACTGAAACAAACAGATTTTAAGACAGAATTTTGAATAAATAGCTTTATAGGAAAATAATTGAGTTTGCAGACGATTCCAGTTTAAAAAATAGGTACTTATTTTCTGTTTCCATTGAGTATTTTTACTGTAACTATGGAAGTTTCTTGACTAATATTTTACAACCTTGTAACAAATTGCTCAGAATAAAACTGGCCATAACCCATATATTTTCAAAAATCGAAATTATTTTAAGGAAAAGCCATCTAGATTCCTTAACATTCATTATAAGAACATGTGATTTTCTCCTTCGATTCTCATTGTTATTTTCTATAGATTCCAGCGGTTCTAAATTTTTTTTCCTCAACTGGACCTTAAATAATCAATCTTCTTTCGGCGGAACCCCGCTTTTTTAAATAAAGTTTGTGAACGTTATAACCTAGAAAAAGCTATTCTTAAAATATTTAATATGAGGAATGAAGATTCTTTTTTTAATAGTTTTATCTTTAATAATCTTAAATCAGGTTTTATTTCCGGCAGTAAAGTGTAAAGTCCTTGTTCTATATCTAGACAAATTATGAATTTGTTTTTGGAGTATATACATGAATAAATAAAATAAGTCGAAATATGTTTTACTTCTAGAGGAAAACTGTTGTTGAAAATGGTTATTAGGGAGACATATTTCTCTATGAAGAATTATTTTATTTTGTTTCGAAAATCACAATGGGAAATACTATTGTAATATTTAAAAGCTTGTTCTTTTTATAATTTGTTCAATATATTGTAATTAAAAATATTACATTTCGTTTTAAAAATTACCATTTCCTTTTTATTATAATTCCACTTGAAGTAATTTGATAAATAAATTATAAATTATAGCTTCTATCTAAATATATAATCAGAGGCTTCAAATCTCATCACGAGTTATAAAAAGTACTAACCCTCGGAACCTCTTTCACTCTTTCGTGGAACCCTATTTGGGAACCGCTGATATAGACTATATTTGCGAAGACTATAGCCAGTAGATACAACCTAAATTATCATCTTCATCGTTACTACCGTTATTGCCATTATTATCGTGAACCAAAATTATCATGTTTGAGTTGGACTTTGAAATTAAACTTAATAAGACAGTTTTAGGGTACACTACTACCTTAATCTTATAAGATTTTTTAGGTATTAGTTATAACAGTTTAACCCTTTATAGGGTCCCTCTTCTTCTTCTGCTTCTTTGTCTGCGCAACAGCCCCTTGCAGGTTTTGGCTGCCTCAACAGCTGACGAATGACAGCTCCTTCTATCCTTGGCAATTCCCTTCCAATTTATAATCTTTCGGGTTTTCAGGTCATTTTCGATGTCGTTGAGCCATCTAGTAGAGGATCTGCCTCTCTGACGCGACCCCTCTGGGTTCTTAAAGGTGACAATTCTCATGGCGCTATTTTCAGGGCTTCTCCATACATGGCACAGCCACCTCAGCCTATCACTGCGGATTAAATGTGTAATTTGGGGCTGCTAATAGAGTCGGTAGAGCTCGAAGTTACATCTGGTTCGCCAATATCCCCTTTCTTGAATTGCGCCAAAGATCTTTGAAAGTATTATACCTGCCAAGTGTTATACCTGCCAACTCTTCCGGATTTTCCGGAAGATTTTATTTTCATATTTAAAGTGGTAGTAATTACATGCTATTCTTTCTTTTATAATCTTAATTTTTAAATGATATTGATCTCCACTATTCTTACAAAAATTAAGCACATATATTAATATGCGTTACTATCATGGTAGTCAACTTAAGTTTTCTCAAATACAACGTATTTGTTTACTTAAAATTGAAGTTTTAATTCCATTTTAATACCACTGGGAAAAATGATAATGGAAGGGATTAAAAGTTGGCAGGTATGCAGTGTCCGCTGTATATCTGAGCTTCATAAGGTAATTTTCTCTAGTAATGTCATATTGAAATATTTTTCAAATTGAGATTGATTTATTAAAAAAAATTCATTTAGCTCCTCAATGTTCGATTTATTCTTGACACCACGCAGACCTTTGCTGTTGCCCACAGTTACGAAAACGAAACCCCTCATTGTTTTTTTTTTTTTTTTTCTTCGTGTNTAATATATTTACTAATTTCTGAATTCTTTTACTATATTTCTTTTATTTTCTGAATTATTTTATTATTTTCTAAATTTTTTTACTATTAATTGAATTTTTTTTAATGTATTAATTTTTTTTCTGAATTATTTTTATTATTTACTGAATTATTTTACTATCGATTGAATTCTTTTAATATATTTATTATTTTCTGAATTATTTTATTACTTTCTGAATTCTCTTACTATTGGTTGAATTCTTTTAATATATTTACTATTTTCTGAATTCTTTTACTATATTTCTTTTATTTTCTGACTTCTTTTACT